ACAAATGATTTACTGTAGATACAAATAGACGTTTGGATACACATACAGGTGTCCAGTCAACATGGCTCATCTTCTAAATACCTAAAATCAATCTGGAGTTTGTGAATGCCAACAGATGTTTAGATGTGTAAAACATTGTCCTAATAGGTGTGAACAGGTCCTTTATAAGTAAATCTGTCGTCTGATAATCAATCAAATTTATTCTCTTTTGAATAATTATACAATTCTATTCTGTTCATTAGTTATATGATACGCGGAGACAGACACTGTGGCACATACTACTCATAAGATTGCTTGTAAGTAGCATAAAGCTGAACATGGACTCGAAGCTGTCATAGTTGTCAGACGAAGAGAAGAGTTTTAGCATATCAAAAGTACGGCATAGGTAAAACCTTTGAAGATCAAACGATAAGATAGTTCGGATCGTTGACTACGATAGTAGTCATCATGTATCCAAACAGTATGAATAACTGATAGCAAATATAAATTAAAACAGTCTGCTAAGATACTCCTTGAAAGTAACGATGGTTTGAAGATATAAAATAAACTAAGTTTCATCAGTGGAATATCTTTTTGTACCTGAAGTGATTTCTTTGTAAACTTTAGAAAATAATAAAGTGAGCTATCAGAACGCAATATCCTTTAAAGTCATTGTAAATTGTTAATGTTTTCTCCAATCTAATGTTGACTGTTACACCTCTGAGCAACTGTAACTCGTCAGAGTTAAGTGTATAGGTTGTAGAGACACTATACATCATTAGTAATGTATTCAATTTTATCGTGATACGTTTAAATATGTAGATCAAGTAAATTAGCTAACTATCTGCTGGGGAAGTTAGATCCCCAAAACTCATATGGGAAAGGACCTAATTTTGTAATTTTATTTTGAAAATTTGAATTTCTTTGTCTTCACGCCAAAGGTGCTCTTGTTACCTTCATGTCGTATTTCCCACTGGGAAATTTCCTAAATGCCATTGGTCCGTTGTGTCTTTTAGTATGCAATTTGATAACTCTCCCCAAGGACGGTTTTGCACTGTATATACACGTTTTGATTTGTGTTTGTTGTTATCGCTCGTTTCTGACTGTTTGCAGAATATACTTCCCATCCCAAGCTTGGACTTCTCCCTCTAGTTAGCGGGGCTGGGACGTATCAATAGCTAGCTTACTGGTCTTTGGTCATCGAGTCTTGTTCTCGTTCGCAGATTAAGTGAACGCGTGATAGCTTCAAACCTAGCACTATCTATCAATCCTCTTTTACATGTTAGGATACTCAATAGGATTATGAATTTTACTGCAAATAATAATACCCTACTTTTAGATGTTTCATTTATTTGTTTATCTGTCGAAGATATAAACAAGTTTCATCTGAAAGACCTCAACATTTATGCAATACAAATATTTTTATCCAACTATTTATACTACTAAAAACTAGTATAATTATTCTTTAGAAATATTTATTAACATGTAGAACATTGTAATAATTATGGCTGAAAAACTAGATACTGTGTTTAAGACAGAGATTTAACCTTAAAAATAAAACGCCTCAAATGGGTTCTAACTCATTATCTTTTGAAATTAGATAGAATTAAGTCTATCCCTTTAATCATTACTTAAAGTTTTAAAACATGGATAAGTAATTTTTTAGAAAATGTATATCCCTATTGATCGAGATAAGCGGACAGAAATACGTTTCCATTTATAGTTTATGAATGAATCAGTAATAATCTTTCTGAGTAATTAATTTTATCATCAGTAGTTATTATGTTACATAACTTACTTAGATAGTGGTACATATAATAAAAGGGTAATATTAATACTATTTTCCAAGAAATAAATTCAATTTTTAACATTTCTTCAAATATAACACCTAATGTACTGTAGTGAACAGAACACGGGTCGCTGTGGTCTAGTGGTTAGGACATTGAATCGTGTTCCCGCTCTTCCTTTCTTGATCTTCCACCATCTTCTGCTGCCAGACATTACGTTTTTAACTCGCATCATATACTACTTACATCAATATAAGTAGGACGCACCACAGTACCAGTACACAGCTTTATATTATTAAGCTTTGATTTATATTATTATTGATAATGGCTTACATTGTTGCTAAATTGTCTAAAAAGGATTAGGCTGGATGTGATTCAAATAAGCCACCAAGTGCTTACTTTATTGAAATGTTAATTATTATATAAGCAAATACGGATAGTGGTTAGTAGTGGAATTCAGGACGCACGTTTCATCCTATTTAGGTCTTGTCAGCTGGACGTACCTGCATCTCAGAGTTGATATTCATCCTAGAACTCGGACCCAGTACCGTTTGTATCAAACGCCATCGCGTTGTCCACTAAACTACTGAGTTCAATCAGCCACCTGCTTGTGAAATGTGGTGAAGTTCAAAACAATGGGAAGATGCAAGCAAACAATATCAAGTGAAGTTAATTATTATGGTTTGATTTAATAATTAGTTGAACAGTAGAGTCTGATGAGAAATTATTGAAAAGAACATTATTCGTTCACACAAGTGAGATTTATGAGCACTTTAATTTTTCTTCGAACTGTTTAAACGATTAGTTAGTATATCTACGAGTTACGGTAACGTTTTTAATTTGTGACGCTGTAGTGTCGGTTACTATGTTAAGCACATATAAACTATTCTAGCTTCTAGACAGGCCAATGTATTCATTCTTCCTTAATCACCTTTCGACCTTGTTAATTATTATTCATTTATCAACCCTGACTGTTTTTATATGAGCTTATGTGTGAGTACATCTTATCCTACTCATCACATGTCTGTAGCTTATTTTTATGTGACTATAAATATTGATTAACGATTGATTAAATGGAGTTGGCTTACACCCATTCTCCACTGTGCGTCATTTCACTTCGCTCTGTTCTCTTCGCTTCCTTCGCTCCATCCCTCTGGTTGTCTGTCCAGATCAATAATTGTGCAAAATATACGTATTCAAATATCCATTCTCGCATTCGATTTATTTAATTCCGTTATTCATCAATACGATTGAAGTCGATGAAATATACGAGGATAGCTAACATGTGTATTTCAATGACAATCAGTATACAATCTAATCGGAGTCAGATATACGGTTATTAAAGTAGTGAGCCCGTCAACAACATTGTCATAATAGATTTCTTTTGTATTTGCTTCATCAGATTTCAAGATATATACATATAACGTGTTTAAACAGTTCTATACAATAATTTTTGTAAATCTTTTCACCTAGAAGTGATATAGAGTGGGTAATTTAAGTATGTACTTGTTAATATACATTTATATAACACTTACAATTCAATTATTTTGTATAATGAATAAAGGCACTCATAAATTGTATAGATGTTATGCATATTCATGTAGACTGTATTTCTGGTTTTAAAAAAATACTCATGTCAATTTATCTTCAAGTGGTAATTTGGACTGAAATTATCTTTTTATTATACTGAATGATCTAACTAAATTAGTATATTTTAAAGTGTAATCATATCAACATAATCTTTATTTGTATCCATGTATTTAAGAATGAATAGGAATAATTATGACTGACTAGAATGTATTAGAATAGAAATAAAACGTGTGTAATCAAGAAACAGGTTTTAAGTTTTGTGAATTGACTGCCAACATTTATAGAATTATTATCAGAAAGGGGTTTGTTCTGGATATTATAGTTATTTAATAGTTAAGTTCATGAGTCGATTGAAGCTAAACTATCATGAAAAATCAGAAAGTACTGGATGGCCGTTTCGTCCTATTTTGGGACTCAACTATTGAAATTACTACAATCTCTACAAAACCTCTTCAGATACTAATCAACATATGCTCACTAATGACTGGCTTCAAGATGTATACCCTAGAGTTCTAGTGATTAGCAGTGACCAGCGGAGTTCAACCGGGTCAGTTGTGAGATAGGAACACACTGACGACACTGGTGGATGTATGGCTAAATTTTGTGGATTAGTTGAAGTTAGACATTAACACCGTTGGATGCCGATTCAATAGTGCGCATCCACACTCTATAGAATGATTGAAAACTAATAAATAATGAACATTTTTAATTTAGTCCTATTTCTACGGCAATTGAGACTTATGATGTTATTATAGGAATTTCATTTGTAACAGCAAACCTGATAATATTCAGTTAAAGAATCGATATCCATTTGTTTATATTTTCAAATTTATTCAGCATCACTTGGTATTGTTTGGTTTGTATCTTCCCATCGAGGTTCAAGACTGCAATTGATCAGCCTGTTATCGGCATATGTGCATACTGTGCGTATGCCTCGATATTGCCTTAATTCACAAGCTATTTGTAAGCAATGATGGATAGTGGCTAGCGCGTTTCGTCCTATTTCGGACTCGTCATCTGGATGTACCTGCATCTCAGAGTTAAACAATGTGTTCTTCATAAAATGTCATTAATGAATTATTGTATATATATTTTTAACTACTTCGACTAATGGCTTCCCGTTAGAATCTAAAGAAGATTATACTGAAACTAGTTGGTAGTGTGTATATTATATTCTAAAATTTATATCATCAGTTTATCTGCACAATATAACATTTCACCTTCGAAAAATTCATCAATAAAAGTATACGGTATAAAAATCACAATTTTCTTATAATTATAAGCAGTAATATGTTTATTGAAAATAATAATAGTTCTAACTTTAACAATTATATCTATTATTTCAAACATTATGAAAATGAGGTACCTCAGTAAGGTGTACCTGTAATCTTGAAGGAACCGATGCTCCGTTATAGATTTGATCCCGTGTCACCCACCTTCACAATCACAGATGATACCATTGGGTCGCGACTGACCTTCTATATGACTGAGATGTATTGCAACTTAGTCGATAAATTTTGATCTTCACTAAGAAGGACCTGACACACATGATATTGATCACCATCGACTAATCAATCAACTGAGAAAAGTAAACAAAATATATGCAATGTTTGAATCATGGTCTAAAGACTGAACTGAGTAAGGATGATGATGATGATGATGATGATGATGATGATGATGATGATGATGATGATGATGATGATGATGATGATGATGATGATGATGATGATGATGATGATGATGATGATGATGATGATGATGATGATGATGATGATGATGATGATGATGATGATGATGATGATGATGATGATGATGATGATGATGATGATGATGATGATGATGATGATGATGATGATGATGATGATGATGATGATGATGATGATGATGATGATGATGATGATGATGATGATGATGATGATGATGATGATGATGATGATGATGATGATGATGATGATGATGATGATGATGATGATGATGATGATGATGATGATGATGATGATGATGATGATGATGATGATGATGATGATGATGATGATGATGATGATATGAAAATTGGTCAAATTGGCGTTAATGCATCCGTTTTTATATTTTCTAATGATTGTTCACTACGATCTTTTGTATTACTCTCTAATGTTATTTATTAACTTACACCTATTACCCCTTGTGGAAAAACATGAGCAGCCCACCAGCATTCTCCATCCAACTCTGTCCTGGGGAATAATTTCCAGTTTTCTTCAATTGTTATTCACCCTTTTCTTGTCTACTTCCGATTCCCGACGCAGTGTTTTCTTTAGTTTTCCTCTTTTCCTTTTCCCTTCATTGTGCCGAGTTAGGGCTTGACTCGTGATGGAGTTTGGTGATTTCCGTAATTTATGTCCTATCCACCACCAGCTTCTTTTCCTAATTTCCTTTTTAGATGGAAGCTCGTTTATTATCTTCCACAGTAGATTGTTGCTGATGGTATTTGCTATCTTTGAAGAGATTACGAGTCCACCTAATCTGAGAACGGAACGAAGACTCTGTGACACAATGACCGATAAACTAGCTATCCCAAAGTGTCTCAGCCGCAGTAACTAAAGAGAGAAGTCTAAGTTCGGTAAAGGAAAATATGTTTCACAAGCAACCAGAAACAAGAACAACAATAAAATAGCATACTAAAAGATACAACGAACCAATAGCGTTTAAGATTCTCCCAATCGGGAAATACGACATGAAGGTGAAAATGGATGTTTTGGCGCGAAAACAAGAAATTCAAAATTTTAAAATAGAATTACAAAAATAAGGCATTAATCAAGTGAGTTTTGGGAATCTATCTTTCCCAACAGTATCTGGCCAACAGATATTGAGCATCCTAAATAGACAATTGTTTAGAAATACTTGTATATTTTTGATGATGTTTGTGGTAGTTCTCTATTTTCCAGCTTTGATATTAGTTGACAATTTTTTTTGAGTACTATATGTGGTTCATTTGTAGCAATGTAGCGTTTGTTTTGCCAATCCTCACCTTCACGTCTGCATCCTCTTTGTTCATCGATAAATTGTGAGATTAATGGTGATGGAAATGTATGCCAAATTCCACAATGTTTATGACTGACTGTCACAGAATATATATACATATATTAGAAGAGAGAATGGAATCAAGGGTAATGCTATCTAATGTTATTGACTTTAAATTTTACTACAATACTACTACTACTGTAGCGAACGAGAACTCGGGCGGGGACAATTGAATGAATTCGTCACAAAATTACAGAGCATCTCAATAAAATCTGAGAACTATATATTAAATCGTTAATTTGAAAAATGTCCACCAATTGTCTTAAAATGACTTAGACTTCATTGTTCTTACATTTTCATACAAATTGCATTCTATTCCAGCTCTTGCTTTCTTGATTTTCCCTCATCTTTTGCTGCCAGACAATACATTCCTGACTCGCATAATATACTACTTATATCAATATAACTAGCACGCACTACACTACTACTACTACTATTACTATCTCTATTACCACTATTCATGATAATCAAATTAATTAACAAAAATGTTGAATAATTGGTGAACTATATCTTTATTCTTATTTTCGTTCCAAATAACATTCAAGTGAGTTTTATAAAATACTTCAGCTAAATGATACTTGAATTATGATAAATTAATTGACATTTCTTCTATGATAGAATAAATACTACTAATTTAATGGGTTTAATCATCTTGATTTATCTTTTTCCTTTTTTTCTTTCCTTTTTTCTTTCTAAAAAAACGAAAGTTTAAATTCCTTTCTTCTTTTTTTTTTGGAAGCAACCAGTGATTCATATACCATTTATTAATTATATCTAATTAAGAAAAATAGGCTTATAGAAAATGAATAAAGAAGTGTATACCTGATTCTGAGTAGTATATTCGATAGATTATATCAATATGGATATAGTAATATGAAATTATTCATTTTTTTTTAGAAATATAATTAGGACAACAGTTTCAAGTTGTTTAAGTGAAATGAATAAAAGAATAAAAGTTTTATGATTAGCAATTCTATTATAAATAAGTTGTCACGCTACTTAGTAAGGACTTTTAATCTTCTTGTTGTTACTGTGAAGAACTATAATAGATCCATTTTTTGTTTGTTTGTTTGAATTATATGGTTTTGAGTTTAGGGATGAGCATTATTAAATCTACGAATAATGCACATTCAAATGATGAGTCCTAAAATGCTCATTCTAGATTCAATTACTAGTTAGTAACCGGTTTTATTGAAATATTTTCACTTTCTTTGAGAGATGAATGGGAACTTATCATTTGGTTGCTTAGTCTTTAGTTTCATTCATATTCTGCTGATTGATTAACAGTCTAGTATAGGGTATGTTATTCCTTTTTAAATAAGCAGAGTGAAAATAAATCATATATATATATATATATATATATATATATATATATATATATATATATATATATATATATATATATGGGAATAAATATACTATGATGTAATCCTTAGAAATCTTCTTTTATTTCATGCAATTGGTTCCCTTTATGAATTTAAATAGAGCAAGAACAAACATTGATGCAGAATAGTATGAATTCATATTATTTCGAGGTTTCTCGTCAGCTGCTTGCAAACCAAAATTGTGTAAGCAGCTGACGAGAAACCTCGAAATAATATGAATTCATACTATTCTGCATCAATGTTTGTTCTTGCTCTATTTAAATCTTCTTTTAATAGTAACAATATGATAATTCAAATGGTGTGGATAACTTTAAAATTCACTATTCATTTTCAGAATTTGTTTTCAAATGTCAAATACATTTACAAAGTCACTTGACTACATCGGTTAATATTTTAAACAAAATGAATGCTGTTATGATTTGTTATTTAACAAGAGTGAATATTTTCTCTTTACAAATTTTAAGGACATAAGTCAGAATATAAAGATCTTCTCTTGGGCGGAATCTGTAAATCATCCAATGTTACCTTTTTTTCATCTACATGAATTAAACAATATTTTCAAGTTACAAATTCTATGCTTAAACGATGGTTTATTATTATTTAGTGGTGTTTTGTTATTTTTAATATGGTCAAGATTTCCTAATACAGTAATTGGTATGTATTATAACTTGTGACCGCCGATTAGAGAGCAGTGACTTATCGATCGGATCAAAGATGCGTAAACCCTTATGAGCAGCCTAGAGTTCGGATTGGCTCTGCTTTCCGCCTATCCCAGTCAGTTAAGTTCAGAACACAAGTCTCAACCTCTGCGATATGAATCATCTATTTCAAACACACTCGGTGTATATATGAATTAAGCAGACCACGTCGTACCATAAAATAGAAAATAACATTTGTACAATATTTGGCCAACAGGAAAATGATACCATTTCAAGTCCAAGGATAGCATTAGACTTAACAGGATAATTTTTGGGATATTTTTCTGAATATCCAAACAGTATGAATGTCGTTAATTGGTACTGTTAAATGGAGGTGAATTGTATGGTGTTTTGTATTGTATGCCTTTTTTTCTACATCACAGTGATCTGGTTTCATAGTTATGTTTATAACTGATAGTATATATGTACCAGAACTGGTTGCACGTGTGTTCTGAGCTAGTACTTAGAATATGAATAGACGGCAGTTGGGAAAGCGAAAAAGTGGATTACAATATATTATATTTATTGAGAAACATAGATGTTTCAGGTTCATTCTTGGATATATACTGTTCAAGTGTCTCCAAATAAATAACATAGCCATTAAATATTTTTCTTTGATTATAACAGATATTTCCAAATTATATAGAAATGAAAGTCTATTAAGCTTGGTTTATCATTCGTTAGTTCTGGTCAGAAAATAATAATAACTCAGATCCATTATGTAGTGACCTACTTTTATCAAGAGAACGCGATTGGTTTAATGGAAAAAATCATTATTATAACCAATTGTACCAGTGATTGTTTTACTGTGTTTGTTTGTTTAACTGTACTGAAGACATTCATTATTCTTTCGTTGACTGCGATCTTGTATGCTCGCACGTTCGCCCATTGATTCCACTTGTATTTCCTTTGGCACGATCTTGGTATACTTTCAATACCACGAGATTGCCAACGAATAAATCTGGTTACAATCTTCTTCTGATTTTCTGGTACGCGCTCATCTTGTAGTGGTGATCATAGTCAAATGCGACTCGACGGTACGCTACAATTGTATACTGTTGAGTAATCTTAGACTAAAGTATCTATCAAATAGTCGGTCCTGGTATTCACTTATTTCTTAATGAATACCAGATAATATTATAAAATAGAAACTCACAAATATTTAATGAAATAACTAAACTAATATTTTGAACAGCACGTTACGTAATCATAATGAATAATTTTCAATTTTTGCAAACTTATTAGACTGTACCGTTGTTTATTTGTTTTTTGTTTGATAAGCGGTAAATATAATAAATCAGTTTAATCTACCTAAATCATAAAAAAACATCTTTTGATATATTAGCTTTTTGCTGTTACTTGCCATCATGTTTTGTTTGACGTTTATTGAGGGTTTCATTCTTTTTGTCCAGGGTTGTTCAGTATAATAATAATAATAATAATATTAATGTTATACCTTGTCAGTTAAATGCTACTTTTTATATCTGGTCGTCGCTGATTGTTGTGTCGGAAACGCTTATCACTTATATTCGAAACGAGGGACCTCTGCAATTCTCACGACGCGAAAGTAAGAACACAAAGACTGGTTTAAGTGATGATTTATTAACCCTCAAAACACGGTGACAACTCTAGTAGAAAATACACTCATTTATATATTGATTAATAATTAGAATGTTAATATATAACTTCAACCAATCCACAAAAAAAAGCGTCACCGCCTACTATTGTCTTCAATCAATTACTATCTCACAACAGACCAATTTGAACTCCACTAGTCACTGTTTCTCACTAGAACTCTTAATTTGTTTTCTTATTTTCAAACAAAAACAAAAAAGATGATGATGATTTTTATTTTAATTGACTTCTTTGCTCAACTTTTATATTATATTCCATAGAATAATAAGAATTT